GAAATTTTAGAGGATATACGGAATGCCCTTCAGTGTCAAATACTCTGAGTTACTTGGAGATTAGTGATTGGTGCTTGCATTACTTACTATTTTTATATCAATTTATGAAGATTCATGCTAGCGCCTGGTTCCTGCAGACATCTCGAAACGCTGACCAGTTACTTTATTTGTTAATAACTGTTACTTTGTAATTCAAGTGCTAATTATTAAAGGACGTTTACAGGAATCTTAACAAATTGACATAAAAATACTACATAACGCTATCACCAGGTTGCGTTGTGTTGTTTAATCCTACTTTATATTAATCAATAAAATAGACAGAACACTGAAAAAGATTCGGCGCGCCCCCTACTCTTCAAGTTTAGAGGCTACTCATATTTGACATGGCAGCACCTATACTTTTCATCGGAGTACCAGNTCACCAGGTTGCGTTGTGTTGTTTAATCCTACTTTATATTAATCAATAAAATAGACAGAACACTGAAAAAGATTCGGCGCGCCCCCTACTCTTCAAGTTTAGAGGCTACTCATATTTGACATGGCAGCACCTATACTTTTCATCGGAGTACCAGCTACTCTCCGATCGACGTGATATACGCTCTAAGTGTACCGACCACATTAGTCAATCGGGTTTGTCGAGTATGTTTGTAACTGAGTAGCCGTTACTCTTTTTGTTCGGCATCCATCATGAACACGTGAGGTTATCACTTTAGTTCAGTGTTAGTTTTTTAGTTTTGTAATTAAATTTGACAATGGATGCGTTCTTTATCAAATATGATTCCATGTTTCTAAGAGTTTCGTAAAAGAATTAAATTCACTTTATTTAAAGTTTTATGGTAAATTAAAACCGAAATTTCACTTTTTAACTCACTATATCTCAATTCTAGAATATTTTGGAGAACTAAAAGCTAATGCGATCTCTACTAGTTCAAAAAAAAATTTGTTACAAACTATTGCATTCAAACAAGTTTTAAAAATGTGCGAGGTGTTTAATGTTCTTGAAAATGAGTCAAAAATTAAATTTAATCGCAATCATACTAAAAATGGTATCAAATCTTTATTTTGCTTGAATTATTAATCAACTCACATCCATATAAAAAAAAATATATCTGCCCACTTTACCGTTATTATATTGTTTCGATTTATTTTCAAGGTTAAAAAAAATTAAATTAAATTAATTACATTGTGCAGAATAAGGCCTGCCAAATGCATGAGAGACCGTGGGAGTGAGAAAGAGGTCTGTGGAATTGCTTTTCGGCAGACCTCTGTCTCTCTCTCTCTTTCTCTCTCTCTCTCTCTCTCTCTCTCTCTCTCTCACGGTTTCTTATACTTCGGCAGGCGCTGTTCTGCACCCTTAGCATGTGTAACACAGCCTAACTATTACTCCAAATCGGAGTAGCCTCTACTCCGATCATACGTATAGTGGTTATGCATAGTAGTCGACACAGTAGCGCTACGCGTAAAAAGCGCCTCTGTTACTCCGTTTCAGCAGATTATTCACTCATAAAGAGGGGCGCTGCTGCCACTCATATTAAAGTATAGCCAGCACGCTGAATCTTTTTCAGTGTAGGTGCATCAAGTTACAGTGATAGGTGCTTGTATTACCTTAAAAATAATAAAAGTTATGGCTGAAGTTTTTTTATATTCCCGGCATTTTATTATATACACTAGACTCGATGTGACTGCAGCCTCAAACTTCATTACGGGTGTCTGATTGTAGTGATTGTACATACACTGGCCGGACATTGATTTGTTACGAGCGCAATTTGAATATTACCAATACAAGAGGTTATGTTAGGCAACCAGCTAACCACAAAATAGCTTTTTCAAATTGCGCGCGTTACGAATCAGTGTCCAGTGGGCACTGGGCAGGCCCTGGCCAGTATTGTAATAAGGTTATCGAAAGAGTATGGCCGGGCCCTGACCCGATTGGAAAGTTAGCAGGGCTCCCAAGCTGGGGCCTATGTGAGTTGCCTAGGTGGTACCAAGCTAGGATTGTAATGGGGCTTTATGTGGGCGCTAACTAGGGACAAGAAAGTTATCGTCTACCTAGCTTTTCCTTGTACGCATCGAAAGATTCGAGAGCGGAAAGGTATATATATATATTTTTTTTTATATCATAGTGCTCTACGTCCGGCTCCTATAAAGGGCACTACTTTGGGCACTTAGCACTTGGGAAAGGGACAAGGAAAGGGATGGGAGGCCTCCCATTACTGGGAGGGGGGTAGGGGGAAGTTAGGCAATTTTTGCTGCGAGAAGGTCGCCTAAACCCTCCTCGAGGAGCATTGCGTGGTGAAAAAGCACATGTGAGAATCACAGAGCTACTTGCCCGAAAAGTCGCACTGGCCGGGAATCGAACCACGGTCACCCGCGTGCCAATCCACGACCTAGCCGAC